AGGGGGTGCGGGGGAGGGCGCAGCGCCTCCCCCGCGGGGCTCGCGAAGCGAGCCCCCATCACATTTCAAATGTGGACTGTGCTGGGTCGCCGGTTGCTCTGGGTAACTAGAATAACATTGTAGTAAACAGTGGGCACCAAGCGTGGCAGCGGAGCTCTCCACCAAACCGAGTGCTTTCTTCTGAAACCTATACACTCTGCACCATGCTTATCCCCTCGTGAAACATCTTTCTGCTGTACTGCGCTCCGCTCACTCTTGGGCTGTCCCTTTGTCCAACCGCTTTGGCTTCGCGTCGCCGCCCGTGCAGCTGAGCGAAGCGAGGCGGAGCGGGCGGGGACATACGAAGCCAAAGTGGTCGGACAAAGGGACAGCCCAAGAGTGAGCGGAGCGCTCATGAGGGGACAAGCATGGTGCAAAGTGTATAGGTTTCAGAAGAAAGCACCCGGTTTGGGGGAGAGCGGAGCGATGTGAGCGAAGCCAGCCGACTTGGATTCTGTGACGACACGGAGAGCGCTGCCAGCTGAAATCGTAACGCTAAGCGACCAGCGCGGGAGGGGGTGCGGGGGAGGGCGCAGCACCTCCCCATCAAATTGATGGACTCAGCGCGGGGGCTTTCTGTTGCACTGCGCCCGCTCACTTTGGGAAAGCTTAAGAAACCCCTAGTGAGGCAAGGTGGACATGAGCGATGGAGCGGAGGGCGCTGCCAACTGAGATCGGACAAACCCGACCAAAGGTTATTCCCGCCAGTCATTTCTATTGTCCATCGTGTGTGTCTGTAACCGTATAGTAAGTTTCACTTTTCTCTTTTTACGAAAGCCAGCCGTGGGCTAGGCTGAAGTTTTTTAGGCGAACGAAGTCAGAATTATGGGGTGTGGGAGGGGGTCTGTAGATAAACTCCACGCAGGTTGTCGCGAAGACATCTGGCAAGCCGTCATATCGCGAAGGCGCCCTCTCAACCATAGCCACGCACATGCGAAAAAGAAATGCGCCAGGTTGGCTGTCTCACGGCTGCGTTGGAGCCATCTTGGGGCCAACTTCATCTACCTTGGAGCCCATGATGGTGATACAACTTCGGCATTGCCAAAAGCCATCCAAAAATACACCTCCAAAACGCTCTCCCCAGTGGCCCTGAAGGCCGAGCAAGAATCAACGCAGCAACCACACCAAAACACAAAAACTCCTCCAAAACGCTGGCGCTGCAAGCGCGACGTAACGAAAACTCATCCAAAATTGCACCTCTAAAACGCTCTCCCGAGAGGCCCTGCAGCCCAACCATAGCCGCGCGCGTGCGCGCGAAAAAATAGCCCCCCCTCAGCAAAGCTATTTGCATAGCAGCACCCCATAGCACGCCCTGCACCGACAAGCGATGTGGGCGGATTTCAACATGTTGGTTGTTTTGTTGCGAGGTTGCGGTTGTGGTTGTCGTTGTTGTAGGTGTTTGTTGTTTGGTTCCTGTTGGTTAGTTGGTTGGCTCAGCGACCCAGCGTGGTTGGTTGGTTGCTGCTGGCTGCCTGGCTGGTCGCTGTTGGTTGCTGTTGGTTGCGGTTGGTTGGTTGGTTGGTCAGAAGTTTTTGCCGCACGGGGTTCACCTTAGAATGTTATTTTGTGGCAGGCGCAGGTGCTGGAGATCAAGGAGACTGCACAGTACGGATTATTTCACGCAAGGTTAGTTTGTTGCTTGGTTGGTTCATGTTCTTGTTGGGTGTTTGGTGTGGTTTGTGGTGATTTTGGTTGTCGTTGTTGGTTGACGTTTCCTGTCTCGAGCCCGCACTTGGCCCAGGAACATGTAACACCAAAGCCGGAACACAAAACACCGGCAGGAACCCAGGGCACCATTCCAGGAACCTGACACCTACATTCAGGAAGCGAAGCCACTGTTGCCGGAAGGCAACACACTGACACAGGGGAACGGAAAACACCACAGGGAACACAAAACACCAATATAGGAACATAGAACACTTGCACGCCGGAAGCCAAAACCTTCTCGGAAGCTGCAGCCATCTTCCCGGAACTGCAGCCACCAAACCAGGAAGGACACACTCCGAGAAGGGAAAACACCATGGGAAGGGAAAGCACCAAACCGGGAACAGAAAACACCCGACCCGTTCCTTCTAGTAGCAAAAGAAAACCTGTGCGTGCGAGAAGGGAAAACGCCGTGGGAAGGGAAATCACCAAACCAGGAACAAACAAAACGGCGAACTAGGAACACAAAACACCTAACCGAAATCCTCTTACTTCGGACGGAAGAGCGAGCACCGAGCTGGGAACAAAAAACACCTAACCCAAATCTCCTGATAGAAAAGAGGAAACTCTGCGCGCGGGAAGAAACAACACCGTGGGAAGGGAAAACACCAAACCAGGAACCAAAAAAA